TTCCACATAGATTATTCCTTTTAAACACAAACTCGGTCCGATATTACACTAAGAAATAAGCGACGAAATTAATTATACCAATCAACTTGATCTAAGTACGATAATATATAAGGCTATAATGTGCACTTGTTGTGCAATGGTTTGTAATGATACCAGATCTTCCAAGCAGTAGTAGGAGGAGTGTAGTTATCGTCTATGTGGTGGACTGAAATTCAGGTAGTTAACTTAATGAGCAAGATCTTCACATAATTGGTTACTAGAAAGTTAGAACATCAATTCTTTACAACCATTTACCAAAAAAATCAAAATTATATAATCGGGTTTATTAAATTTACTGAAGATACACTGTAAAGTTGGATGTTGGAAGCAGAAATCACTAAATACCTGATTAAATGCAATGGACCTTAGAATGAATTAATCAAACGCAGACGGAGAATAATTTCGTACTACATACAAGATGTAATACTGGACTAGTACTACATATTCTTAAATTGTTCACAAGTTTCGGGAAAGATATGGATTCATAACACACTGAGTAGTTAAGTAGTTAATTCCCCGGCTTCAGGGCTGAGTGATGCAAGTTTGAATCACTGATTAAACTACCAGATACGCCCAGTTGGTCAGTGCCAATAAGCATAAAACCTAGGTCTAGAGATTCCTGCTGATTAACTCTCAATATGTAGCATAGCATCTAATGCACCAGTAAATTATGAAGACAAACAAATGTGAGTGTACATATATTTTTTCAGATTATTTCTAAATGTAAACACACTGACCAGTGTTATGTTATCCTTTCATCCTTCCTACCAACCATGATATACGTTTGGTGTTTGGGATTAGAAGTCGTTGTCATGTGACGCCTAACAAATCATTTAGCCGAACTTTGTGTGACAAACAATCTTAGAAACTTTTTCAATAAAATATATTTTTGGAATCCTAATGAAGTAGAAGAATAAGTTTCTGGAGTTTCGCAACTTTGTGGAAATAGCTTCATCAAAGAATAAAACCTGTACAAGTTATGGACTGTTTAAACAGTCAATGGTGACAATGGATGTGACGCAAAACGCCAGAAACTTATTTTTCTACTTCACTGGGATTTTACAAATATATTTCATTTATGATCCATTCACCCAATGCTCAACTTATTCAACCCTATCAGATAAAACTTTAATCCTGAAGTTTACTGAGAAACTTTGCCATTTCATTCTGTAATAAGTGAAAAATTAAAACAAATAGTTAAAACTTCGTAATTATTGAAAAGCGTAAGTTTCAGATGCAACACTCAATAATTTGTTTTGAATTGACAAATATCTTAGCCGCACGTTCAGTACAAATTCGTACAGTAAATGGGTTTCGTTTGCACTCAGTTAGTCTTAATAACACTAGGAGCTGACTTTATTGATGGATGCGATAATAAATCCAAGCTTATGTGTTAATTGTAGTATGACAAAGAAAATTTTAGTACAGGTCAGTATTGACCTCAGTGTAATATCACCATCACAGGGTTCCCCTGATAATAGCCTCCTCCTTGAGATTAAATTTTTTGGTACTCATGACCATCAATTTTTCGAAAACAGTCCTGGTTAGTAAGTTAACATAAAATCACGTAGATTTTTGTCACAAATAATTGGCTTTTATGTTTGTTCAAAGTGGAGTCCGGTTGGCGATCTAAGCCGTTAGCTGGAAACTCTCCCTGATGAACCTCAGACTCGACTTCTGTGAAACACATGCAGTTATATGTTTACTTTCTTATTCGTTATTTCGATTTTCACTACTCTACTTCATCTTATCTTATGGCTTTCTGTAACCTCCGGGTACTTCCTTCCGAGTGATTCTCTCCTTCATTAAGTTGCCATTTATCTTGATGTGCTGGCCTGTGGTGTGACAACTTGGTGACTTACTCAGCAATAATATGTCCTTAAAATGACAGTGACTTACTGATTAATACGAGTGTTATGAGGTGAGGAACCGATATCAGACTGCACGGAGATTAGATGAAGTCAATATACTGATTAAACAGCGGAGGAAAAAACTCCCAACGATTATCAGACCCAAATCTTAACCAAAAGGATAACCTCTTGATCCTCAGTAAAAATGTTGGACAGATAAGGTAAATAAATTAAAAAGAAAAACTTCAGTAACAATAATGATTAAAACTACCAGTATGATGCGTCGAAAACTATCTATAGCCAACTTAGCATTAGCGAATCAGGAAATGATGCCGACCAAAGGCGGCGAAAAATATGTCCACTGCATGGAACTAAAGAGAACGTTCGTGACCTATTCATACTATTTCTCCTCCTGGAAACATCTATACATTAGGTGCATAATTTCCACTAGCCTTCATCTAAATTTATCAACCACAAAAGAATACCATAACTAACCTAAACAATGGTGAATACACCATTTCCACACTAATCTGCACGTTTATTGTGTAGATATCACGGTCATCGGGAAACTGGTTATATCTACAGACTATTTAGTCAACTTCAATCCTCGAGGTGTTGTGGAATATTTGTAGCTCAGGTTATGGAAATTAAATCTAAACACCCCAATTCTTCTACTAACAAAATTGGATCGTGTTCGATGTAATGCTTGAGATACTTACAACGGATTTCAATTCCTCCTCTAAGTCTAACCCTAACGGTCAGAATTTTATTTTGACGGGAGAGAGGCCGGATTCTGTTCATCTCAGTGATCCTGAATAGTTTGAAAAGTATACTGACTCCAGGTATTTCGGTATAACCATGATCCTACAATCTAAAAAATGCGCTGAAAGCAGCTTGCTGAAGACTGACTTAATGTTTTAAGAAACCTTTTTATATTAAGGAGAATCTCACTAAAGATGTAATATTGGTACTACTTATGAATGGTCTATCAAGAAAAGTGGTAGAAAATGATCAATCCAAGGTTAATATTCTATCCTAGTGCTTTAATCCCACGTTTTCATATGACTCCAGTGTATGCTGGTTGGATGTTTTCACTTAGAAATTTAAGCCATGCTCACTGCAAAGGAGTATGTTAAAACCACTTCAGAACTTCAAACCCGGCAAGTTCAGATGGGACCGCATAATCATAGATTACTAGCACTCATGTGTATCATCGCGCATCCACAGTCGTTATTGTTTCTTTGTTAATAAACCAGTTGGAACCGCTAAGGATTGGAGGGAAGTTATAATCAACTTGGTCTTTAGAATATGCCATAGGTAGCTGTTAGCCAACAGACGTGTAGTCGTTATGATCAGTATGGTCATGAGATAATAAATAATAGACATATAATACTGTTTTACTATATGACATATATAATGAACAAATTAGAATGAGTTTCATTATATTCAGTCTGTAATGGTTGTTTGCAAGTTGACCGATAAGTTAAAGAAAAGGGACTAGCGCTTAACGTAGATAAATGCCAAACGATTCTTTCCCCTATTCCTGACTGACACTATACTTTCTCTACAGTACACACTCTTCTCACATAAAGACTAAGAAAAATCTGGTTATCACACTGGCTGACAGCCAGGAAACCAATTCGAATTACCTGGAAGATAACTTCAAGGCTTAAGAGGTATAATGCTTTGTACGTTAGCAGCTAAGTAGCTTAACTCCACAGCACTTTCTTGCGCCCTAAAAGATTTGCACGTGACCACACCTCGAGGTGTACAAAAGTTTGGGAGGCACAATACCTTAAGGAGGATGCAAACTACGTGGACGAAATGAGATGTGAGATGAGCTAAGGAGAGTATTTTGGGAACACAAAGCTAGCTAAAGGATATAGGTCTTTATATTCTTAGTTACCGAAGCACACGTGGTGACTTCTTAGTGGATTCACAAGGTTTTAGGTAGTCAACGTCACCCAAACAGAGGAATATTACTCGTTGGTTTTAATTGAAATCCTCTTGAAAACCTGAATGGAATCGCCTATAAAACACCACAGAGCCAAATGCAATTGAAAATTCCCCCCCCCTAAGTCCGCGGCGACTGAAGCTCATTGTCCACTACAATAGCCACGGCTCCATCTGTTAACAGCTTCAAAAAAGATTCGGAAAGCTAAGTAGTGATAAGCATATTATGCTCATCCAATGGGGGTATAGACTAGAATGAGAGAACTAACCGACATAACATCAACTCAACACATCCTGGTACCTTCGTAACCATTCACCTAATCAATACCTGACCTGTCTCCGTATTTACCACAAGCACAAAAGGTAGGTCCCTGGGTCTGTGGCGTGAAAATCTGCAGAAGTTTTGAAATATTGCACAACACTTGGAAGGGAACGTGTATAAAGCAACTTTTTTATACACGCTTGGGAAACAGATATCATATATACCTTGCCTTCAATATTATACACGATGAAATTTAAGCAGTAAATAGACATGTAAACAGGACATATAAACGAAAAATATTGTCTTAAGTTAGATTCTCTTCAGGTTTTACTCTAGTACAAAAGACATATATATACTGTCCAGAAGGCATCAGAAAACTGATGAAATAGACTGGTCGTGAGATTGTTAGTAATAATTATTTTCATATTTATTCCTGAATATACATATATATGTACATATATTTTTATCCATGTGGATACGTGCATCTATTCATATTAGCAGATATTAATGACTTTCCATGTAAGTAAATTGCTTCTTAAGAAGCAAACGTTTTTGTCACGTGAAATTAACCCTCACCTTTCAGTTACTGAAAGCCACTAGTGTGATATGTTATTAAAGTGGATAATGTTATCAGAACCAGTATTTTTCTGTGCATATATACTGCGGAAATAATGTGAGCGAATATGTAAATAATGGAGTAATTGGCGTTAATATTGCAAGCAAGGCGTAAGTAATAGGGATTGTGTCAAAAACTTCTCTGAACCGCTGAAATAATAGAAATAGTGCTGAAATAAGAGAGGAAATGTGCGTAAATAAACCTGCGTTTACTTATGCACGCACTACCAAAACGCCACAGTTCATGTATAAAATCGTGATGTCTTAATGTTAACACTCACTAAATTCTCAAAAATGAACAAAAATTTAAAGTTGATGATCTTAGCGTCTTGTCGTCATGCTCTTGAAATAAGGTCAGAACACCAACGTTCTTTTCAATATTCCAATGTCCAGCAACTGTTTCGCGACATTGTAAAAACTGTAAAGTTTTTTCTCTCTCTCTTCTAGGTTCGAAGAAACAGCTACGGATTGCTAGTAAATTATAGCGCATCAGATTCACCAACTCACCCGCTGTGCGCCGCCAAACTTCATGGGTAGTTACGTTTTGGCGAAATTCCTAAGCAGGTGCACAACTTTTTCTGAGACAGTTGTATGTATGTCTTGATCAATTGACGAGTCATCAGACAGTTGTTCTGGGTGATCATAAAAAGAAAGATAAGTTGAACGAAAGGATAACCACAGGCACCAAAGGAGATGAAACGATACAAGACACAAAGAAAACAAATAATGCAACAGAAGAGGAGCAATTAAGGTTCAGATGGTTCATATGGTTGTAGACGGAATAAAAGCTTTTTCTTAACTGGCTTCCGCTTCTACAATCCGTAGATCACTACTCCTGGTGGTTGTTAACCTGTGTACAAGTAAAGAAAGGGGAAAAAGTGGCGATTAAAATGGGAAAGTTCACTTGGTTCTGGGCAGATCCCAGACACACATCGAGTGGGTATCCAGTCGGCGTTTAGAGGATTCAGACGGAGTAGCCTAAATCACATCCTCAGGAAGAGCGTTCCGGGGTTTGACAGCCCCTAGGGAATAGGAGTTGTGCCTGACGTCTAGCCTGCTATGTTCCAGGCTTACTTTCTGTGCGTTTCCCCCAAGATTAGCGCTGCAGCTAAGATTTAATAAGTGGCTGAGTGGGTGGCCAGGTGTGCTCAGAATGTTGTAGGTCATTATCGTGTTGCCTCTTAGCCTTCTGTACTCCGGAGGATACAGATCCAGCGCAACCAGTAGTTCTTCATATATTTTGGACCTAAGTCCTCGGACGGATTTTATCGAACTCCTCTGGATGCGTTCTAAGCTTGGTTCGTCCTTCTGGAGATAAGGGGGGAAGACGGTAGTTCCGAACTTCAGATGAGGCCGTAAGAAGCTGTTGAAAATTCGGTGGAGGCATCTACGATTGCATTGCCCGAAAATTCGTCTGAGTCACTAATGCCAAGTCCCCACGAAGTGCGTTTCTGTCACGGTTGGCATAGGATTTTAAGTCTTGGGAGAATAAAACGCCCAAATCCTTCTCTGTCAGTGATGCTTCGAGTTCCGTACCGTTGATGCCACATGCATGAGATGCACAATGTTTTACATCTGTCGCCTTACACTGCTCAGGATTAAATGCAGGCCTGTTGTTGACTGCTCATTTGTGAAGTCAAGTCAAGTATTCCTGCAGAAAAACACTGTCTCCTTCACTTTCGGTTTCCCTCCTGAGTTTCACGTCATCGGCAAAAGGAAGGGTTTCGGAAGAGACCTATTGAGGCAAGTCGTTTATGTATATTAGAAAAAGAAGAGGCCCTATTACTGAACCTTAGGTAACACCACTAGGATATTCTGTTTCTTTAGACGCAGAAAATCACCCGGACCCTAGATGAACAGTCCCATAGATACGAAGACAACCAGTCGATGAGCGAAGGTCAAATCCCAATTAATTTTAGTTTATCGATAAGACAGTCGTGATTAACACTATCAAACGCCTTAGCCAAGTCCAGGTAGATAAAGTCAATTTGTCCTCGACCGTCAACAATGCTAGTCCACCTATCTACTGCAGTGGGCAAATTGGTAATGCAGGGGTACCCCTTTCGAGATCCATGCTGCTGGGAGAAGATAAATTTGTCTCTGTGAGGTAATCCCCCAGTCCATCGTATATCAACGATTCCAATACTTCGGAAGGAATGGATAGAAGTGCTGTCTGTCTCTATTTCTCTGGATTGCTTCATTGACCCCCTTGAGGATTGGCGTTGCTTGGCCCAGCTTCCGAGAGTCGGGTACTGTCCCCTGATTTAGAGAACTCTTAAATAACTTACTTAAGGGTTCGGACAAGACTGGAGCTCCCTCCCACAGTACCGCAGGATGGATTTTACCTGGTCCCGGAGAGTTGTCTCTGGCGAGCGGTAGCAGTTTGCTCTGTACTAGCTCAACACTTAGGTTGACCACTGAGAGTCCTACTTCGTTAGTGGGATATTTGTAAGTTCCTGAGCAGGTGGACGATGACGAGAAGATTTTCATGCACTGGTCTGCCAGGGGCTTAGCTGCTTCAGTGTCGCTACCAGTCAGTCCGTTCTCACCTAGTAGTTGAGTGACTCCCGCTTCAGCCTGCCGGAATGAAGCAGCGTGGCTGAAGAGACTTCTCGGGTTAGACACAAATATGTTTGTAAGCCTGACCTGATGCCGCTGCCGATCAGCTCTCAAAGCCTTCGTATACATGTTTCTTGTCTGTTTGAATTGTCTGCATGTTCATTCGGTGCCAGTCCTTTTGTGTTCAGCCCAGTGATATCTCTTTAACTTAAGCAGTTTGCGAGTGTGGCTCCTTATTACCATAAGTAACTTGAGGCACTTCGGCCTCGAAAATGGAACAGAATGACTGGTTGCAAATTAATCTGACTTGAAGGCAGTATAACTGCTCCTGGTCTGCAGATGGTGGATAGCTTCTCGCTTACAACTTCCCAGTACCACGAGACTCAAGATATGCGTCCATACTCCTTTCGAAAGTATCAGGGAATAGGGCTGTAACGAGTGCTGCAGGAAGGCAGTTCCATGGTTTACAACCTCTAACTGCAAACGAGTTAGCTCTCTATGCCGTATACCCAACGAGTGACCCCTCAGGCATCGTTTACGATTAGAGCTCAGGAGTGATCTGTTAAGAGGGAGGGGGTTATGGAGAATGTGATACATCATGGCCATATCCCATACGGTCCTCTGGTGTTGTACTGGATACAGCCTAAGAGCAACCAAGCAATCCGGGTAGGGTTTGTACCGTAACCCAACCACTTTCCTTGTAGCTCTTCTCTGGACTCTTTCTGGGATGGCTGTGTTCTTCATCAAGCAAGGGGACATCAAGAGCGAATTTTTCTCAAGGTGGGGGTGTAAATATGGTTGCGCTGTGGTGAAAAGAGAAGTTGGTCTCCCTAAAGTCCGCGAAAAAAAGCCAGGACTCGACAGGCTCTGTTGTCTGCAAGGCGTCACTGAACTGAAATTAGACAGGTGCCAACTCTAACAGACTGCAACCTTGTGTAAAGGTAATCTCCGAGCCAAACTATTAGTTTTCCGTGTACACCCATAAGCCGAAGTTTCTGACATAGAATATTGTGATTTACCCTGCCAAAAGCCTTAGGAAAGTCAGGTGACAAAGTGTGAATGGGCTTTTTCTGCTCAACAGAGGGAGTTCAGCTATTCCAAGCTATTAGTAAGTTGATGTTACATGACCTTCCTGGTAAAAACCATGTCGGTAGTCGTTCAAGGCTGCATTCTTAAGTGAGCGATCACGAAATGAGTCGTTTACTACTTCCGTGACTGAAAAGATAAGGGAAATCGGCCTACAGTTAGACTCAAACAGTTTGTTTTCACCCTCATATGTGGGGACGACAGTTGATCTCTGTACTTCTTCATATCCACTTTGGGCGAGTCACTTGATGACAAGGACACTACTTTCTTTGGACGTCGGTTCCAGGGCCTGACTACTCGACACAAGAGCCCGAGGAGACTGGACACGTCTTTTGGTTTTGTATCTTCCCACTACGTCCTCCAAGTTGTCCTGACCTAGTGGCAAGGAAAGTAGAGGGAAGATCAGGTCCAAAGTAATTTCCCAGAGTCCTTTACGGTATGAATACGTCCTATCTCCGTCTACAATAGGAAAAATGAAGGGGCTCGGCTTTTTAAGTCACACTTAGTTCAGGCCAGGCATCTCGGTGTTCATGGCTGTTGCTCCCTTTTTGACTCTCCCCAAAAGGTCTGAGTAATCTTTCTGACAGGCGTTTGCTGCCTGTATACAGTTTCCTTCCGCAGATCTAGCTAGAGATATGCGCATGATGGTGAACATATGACCACTTATTTTGGTAAACTTACTGGACAGTGCCAAGTGTTCCAAGCCTTTCCGAGCTGCGACCAATCGACAGCTCGCCAAGATTTTCGAATCATAACCTGCTATGACTCCTGGGTCGTTTTGGGGTCATAAGTGAGGATATGGGAGTTCAATCAGTAGTAAATGTGTTGCAGTCTATGGCTCATCCGCTTGGTCAACACTTACCTGCACTGGTGGGCGTGAGCCACTCCCCTAACCAGGTGGGCAAGCCGTTTAGGTCAGTCTGCAGCGAAAAACAATCTCATCATCAGTAATTTCCCGCCAGATTTTCATATCACTAACTCTCCGACCCATGTAAGTCGTCAGTGCTTCCTAAAATTTCACTCCTCCTTGTGAGTTCATAGGGACTCCGAAGACGGTACCAGCAGGAGGCAACAGCCCAATGGTTCCGGTGCTAGTAAAGTTCTTCCAAATGGCTCGCCATAAAAGGTGCCCCCAGTCGTCCTAACGTATTCTAGAGTACTGCCGAAGAGGATAAAATGACTGACTGAATGGCTGGCTAACCACGATCTGTGAGGTGCCTCGATGTTTTATCCAGTGCCACTGCACCTGGAACAGAAGCATAAATCCTTTATACTACAGAAAAATTAACCAAAATGAGAGTAGGAAACACTTAGATGCCATACATAAAAGGCAAATAAGTCAATCAAAGAGTATTTTGATTTTGTTTCCTTTGAAAAATGAATCGTAAATCGTGGCCAAAATGGTATCATAACGATAAAGCGAAGAAATGGTTTCGCATTTCTAGCGAAAACGGTGCCAGGAGAAAAAAGTTTCCGAAAGACAAAAAAATTGGCCAACCAAACAGTTGGGCATATTTCTTAGTGTTCCGAGAACTTTGTATTTCGACTTGATTGAGCTTTTCGTCGTACGAGTAAGTGATGTATCTTTGTATTACTAGCCACCAGGTCCAGTATTTCTATAACTGTGATATCTGCCGCTGGGCAGTTGTTAACGGAAACGCCACTTAGGGTAGAGTTACCTTCGGAGCAGCTGGCATCAAACAGTCGATACCAAACGTGTCTT